AATCAACTATAAATCAAGTTCAGATAATTAAACAAATATTGCAATAAAAAAGATGTTTGCGGTAACAAAGCTAACTCCGATCCTATGAAGCTTTCATACACTTTACATAACTGAAAAAAAATAAATTGATAAACAGCAAAAAATGAAGAACTTGGAACAAAAAAGTGTGAAACCGGATTTGAATAATAATGACACATTCAAGTAGATGAGGCCTTTTTCTTGGAAAAACAAATTAGCCAAAATCCGATTTCCATTCCGATATCTTATTGTACGCATTTTTTAGATAAAACTCATGATCAAAGCTTTAGCAAATTCAATTCGTACAAGGAACGATTTCGATAAAAACAACCAACAGGCATAAAACAATTCAGGAACCATTTGGATAACTCAGATTATTAGGAAATGAACACGACTCATTTCGCATCCACCGGAAGCAGAAGGAATAGATTAAACCAAAAATTATTTCCAAAGTCGGTTCAGATTTTCAAACCTGGGCTAAATCCCCGGGTTATAAAAAAAACCTCTAAAATTTATGGTGTCTGATAGACGCCTTTTGAGGAAGTACTTTTGGCGAAAATCTTGTTCAATGTTGAAAGCTTGATTTCATGAACTCATTGCAACTACATGTCTGACTTGAATGGGAAATAGCCGCAGTAAAGTGCCCAGTAAACAGAAAATATACACAAATTCAGCAAGAAAATAAAACATATAAATTGCCTTAATCGAGAAGTGCATACAGTTGAGCATGTGGAAAGTGTCGAAAATGCCTCCAGTCAAAAATGGTGTGGACGACTTGCGCGGATCTAATTTCTAGGCCTGTTTGCTCAGCATTTGGCACTCAGCACTTAAATCTACCCACCTCCCCCTCCCCTCACCCCCAAACAATTAAGAAATGGTGATTAAATATGGCAAAAACACGAGTAGAAACACGTTTGTGATTCGAGTTTGGCATTGATTTAGTTCGGATCTGCGCGCATTTCATGATGAGAGAAGAGAATTATATACACAGCCATTCATGTTAGGGAGCCTAATCAAATATCTCCATTTGACCATCAGGAGTTTCATCTCTCATTGAAGCTGATTACTAATTAGACTCAATTTCTACACACACACACACACACACACACACACACAGACACAGACACACACACACACACATACTGTTCTGTCCACTTAACTCAGACCCAAAGAGGACCAGATGAGACAGATGTGATGTTACTCCAAGTCACTTTGCCAAGTTCTGGGACGGACTCAAAGTTGTCCTCACATTAGGACTATCAATAAGAGATCGTTTATTTTGCAATCATTACTGAGTAAATATGAACAAAATAAAAATACAATTTCAAATAGGAGGAAAGAGATGATGATGTAGTAAACACCTAAATGGTTACAGGAGTGATTCATTCAGGTAGATAGCAAAAAAATAACCAAACTTGGGGAGAGTATAGAAGCACACTTTTTCTCTCTCAAGCAAATCTGCAATTTAAAATAAATTGCCGCGTACCCTAAAAGGGTAAGAGATTATTTACAAAATTGGTTCAAATATTCGAAAAGAGGGATAAAAGTGCAGGAAGGGCAAAGCACACACACACACGACTTCAACAAGGAGCCGCTGTAAATTTGATCCGGAAACGACCTAAATTTCAAATATCTTACAGGATTTACAGTATAAAATTCACTGCAAAAGCTGTTGACATCGGCTTCAAAAACTAGGCGGAAATAATTAAAGCATGCTTCCTATTCAGTTAATCACAATCTCTCACCTGGAGAATATGGACCCACCGACAACTAGAATGATGCCGAGAGCTCCAACAAAATCGGAGATGTGATCCAATGCAGAGGGACGCCGAACGAAAGAGGGTAGACAGACGTTAGGTGCCAGCAGACCTGTTCGATTCAGAGCCAATTGATGCGAGAGACTCACATTGCTGCTGCGCCGGATGTTGAAGAATTGAATAGCCTGGACCTCAATTGAGACATCTCGTACGACAACTACATTTGGAAAAGATTATGCAACCACGCACGGAATAAAGCGGATACTGCGTCAACAATATCATAAGGGAAAAAGTTCATAGTTCTGTAAATGGCTGCTTTATGTTGAGTGAAGTTGTCTTTCCATACAATGAAGGCCTTAATCAGGAGAGAATTCAAGACCTCAAGGGACTCTCCGACATAGCTAACTGGCCAAGAATCGAAGCCGTTTCTGAGTTTAGACTACGTACCGGACACGATTGTCTGGAAAATCACCTTCACAGATTGAGAGTACACACTCAACCCACATGCCCCCTACGTGATTGGGAGAATACACTCAACCCACATGCCCTCTATGTAGCAGATTGAAAGTATACACTCAACCCACATGCCCCCTATGTTGGTACAGGCCCTAAAGACAACGACGGAAAGCCAGAGATACTGGTCCAGCTCTAAAGACAAGGACGGAAAGCCAGAGATACTGTTAAGCAAGAAGACTGCTAATGAACTGCTATTAATTAACTGCCGCAAGAAGACAGCTAATGAATTGCTATTAATTAACTGCTACATGTATGTACCCCACCCCCTCTTGGGGGAAGCTGAAGTCAAAGTTTAAGGGCTAATGATAGAATGAACTGCTATTAATTAACTGCTATATATGCACCCCCCACCCCTGGGTGTAATGAACTGCTATTAGTTAACTGCTATATATGTACCCCCTACCCATGGGGGAAGCTGAAGTCAAAGTTTAAGGGCTAATGATAAATATCATAAAGCCTGCCATTTGAAATAATAATAATAATGTTGAGTGAAGTAAAAATGGCTTTATAGACTGGAACGTCTAATATTTCAAAGGCACTCTCTTAAGACCATTCTACAATTCAAGTGAAGTGCGAGAAAGATTCAGAGGTGCTGAGAGATTTTCTCCTCTAACGGGCATTGAGACTATGATTTAAATAAAATATTCCATCAACGATTTAAAAAAGCACCCGTAAATCCACAAATTCAAGGAATATTTCATCTTTTCAAACTTTACAGTTCTCTTCCACTAGAAAATGGTAAATAATAACTCCAACTATTTGGTTTTCTACTACAGAGATTCAACTAATGACATGTGAAATTTATAACGGCGAAAATGTTTAAAAGAAAACAAGTGTTTTATGAATTTTAAAAGCAATGACAAAATTTACAAAAATACTTTCACTAAAACTACAAGACAGATCAAAGTCCAGAGCAGAAAACCCTCCGAGAAGAAAAATGAATTTTTGTTAATTTAAGTTGAAATGTGGCATTGCATTTCAAATGATCAATCTAATATAAAAATATAATCGTGCTATTTTTGGCAAAATTTACTATTAAAGCGACCTATCAACGCTACCGATGGCTCATTGACAGCAATTATCCAAAAAAGGCACGGACACAATGGTTGATTGAATATCACACGAAATAACAGTAGAAAACGCTATTGGATGAAAATTGTAAACATAGCAAGTAATGTGAAGAAATGAGTATATAGTTTTTTGAAGTACACGAGATGGGAATATTAAAATTGACTCTTAGGGAAAAATCTGTTGGAAATCAAGAAGTAAGCATTTACCCCCCCCCCCCCCCCCAAAGGACCGTTGTCCTATAAGTGTTGATCATCAATTTTTATCAGGATACTATATACTAACATTCCTTCTAAACGATTGACTAATAGGGATATATTTTCTCATCAGATATACATCCCTCCTTCCACCAGCGTCTTCAATGTTAATCCCCAAATGCACCTAACACTGCCAAAAATGCTAAAGGTATTAGGGGATTTCGGTCAAAAAACACATATTTCCAGGTCCACACTGTATTTTAAATATTGGGTGGGCAACTAAGTCATTGCCGATTTCAAATAAGAAGGCAAATTCGGAATTTTTGTTTAAAATATAACTTTATTCAATTAGATATTGGCCGTTCTTGTCGATGACCTTTTTCCATCGTTCTGGCAGAGTAAAAATTCCCCGTTCGTAAAATGTCTTGTCTTTGCTATTAAAAAACTGAATTAGGTGTGATCCGACATCGTCCGCATTGTTAAAAATTTTACCATTTAAAGAGTTTTGCATGGAACGAAACAAATGGCAATCCGAAGGCGCAAGGTCAGGGCTATATGGTGGGTGACAAAACATTCCAACCCAGTTGCAATAATTTTTGCCGAGTAACCAAAGATGTGTGGGGCCTTGCGTTATCATGATGGAAAACAACACCCTTCCGATTTGATAATGCCGGCCGCTTATCTTCAATTGCATCCTTCACTTTTTCGAGTTGTTCAACATACACATTTGAATTTATCGTTTGGTTCTGCGCCTCAATAGTTCAAAATACAAAATTCCTTTGTGATCCCACCAGACTGACAGGATAATCCTTTTTTGGTTAATCTCTGCTTTTGATACTGTTTAGGCTGGTTGATCTTGCTTCACCCATGATCTCTTGCGAGTAACATTGTTATAAACTATCCACTTTTCGTCGCCAGTAACTAGGTTCTTCAGAAATGGATCATTCTCATTGCGTTTCAGTAGCGGCGAATCACAGATGCTAATCCGTTGCGTCAAATGAATTTCCTTTAACTGGTGAGGGATCCATAAATCAAGTTTCTTGACACAACCAAGGGTTTTTAATTTTTTTTCAATGCATGTATGCGACACTGAGCTTCTCTGCAATATCTCGTGTTGTGCTGTGACGATTTGAATCGATAATGGCCTTGATATGGGTTTCATCCACTTCGACTGGGCGGCCAGATCGTTGTGAATTTTTCAGTGAAAAATCACCGGAACGAAATCTTTCAAACCAATTTCGACACTGCCTTTCTTTTAAGGCTTCATCTCCATATACGGCACATAACTTCTTTTGTGCTTGCGATGCGTTCTTGCCTTTTCGGAAGTAATACAATAAAATGTGTCGGAAGTGCACGTCCTGTTCTTTCATTTTTAAATTGGGATAAAAACAAAACTAAAGAACTAAACAAAAAAATTTTTTACTAATTAACCTATAAGCCCATCCAGTAAGAAAAAAATATAGGTTAGATGCTCTGGCCACGTTAACAAAACAAAAGAAAGTATAGAGTGAATCTGTCAACAAAAACGGCAATGACTTAGTTGCCCACCCAATACAAGCCATAAGTGCGATCTAAAAATCAACCTGACTAGATAAATAGAAGAGAGGGTAAAAGCACATTTTCATTAAACGAGATTTCAAAAGGTGCATACAACTTGAAACATAAATTGAAAAGGCTTGAGACTATTTCAGGGATAAGCCACTTAAAATAAAGTGGACAAGCTTAAGAACAGCAGTAAACTTACATTTAGGCTGGCTAAGAACGGCAGACCACGTCAAGTAGGCGGCGAAAGCAGCTGTCACAGCACCGGGGAGATAGAGATATTGGCTTCGAACTACAGCAGAAGGAAGCAGAAAATGTCCGACATTAAACACCACTGCGACAGAGAAGCCACAAGTCAAACTTGGACTTATAATTACGCAAATTAGCGTCACAAGGGTAAGAGAAAGTTCAAACAAGCGCTCCCACACTGCTCTATCAGGTAAACATGTGATTATAGATTCCTTTCACATCAATATAATTTATCTTAGAATTCTATTCCATGTTGCTGACTTCATAGATTTTATTCGATTAAACTCGCAAGAAAATACCGAAAGGCAGTGTAGCATAAAATGTATATCCTAGACGGCAAATCTATTCAATGAATATTGTTGGGAAGAATAAGTTCTACCCAAGACAAGATGTATTTTCAAGTAATCAAAAAATTACCATATTTGCTAAAATATGTCAAATTGCCTATTCACTGCTAAAAGCATTTTTATTAATAGCTGGAATTGGCTTATACACACGTTTTTAACGGCCTCTAGAGGTTGCTGAGTAATTTAGGAATCTAATTAGGTTATAACAGACGGAAAATAGTAATCTTAGTCAAAAGATCTCGCCAGATAAAAGACTTTTGTACTACTAGTCCAAAGAATGACTTTTATAAAATTATTTAGGCTGACAGGGCACAATAATCTTTCCTGAAACAGAAGAGAGTTGTGGTGACCCCGGTTATGCATTGGACGTTTAGAGTGGAAGGGGAAAGAGTGTAGGTTAAGCACCAAAAATGCAATCCTGATGAGTTAAAAATGTAAAGAAAACAAACAAATGCATTTAGATAGCCTGTGTGCCCATCCGTGTAGGGTTGAAATTTGAGGGGAGAGCCAAGTGGGTGTGCGATAGACTTACCTCCACGTGGTGCACCCTGGAAATATGCCTTCACTATCAACATCTTATTTGGAAGCGGAGGGGTGTGTGCGATAGACTTACCTCCACGTGGTGCACCCTGGACAGCGTGCGATAGACTTACCTCCACGTGGTGCACCCTGGGCAACTTTCAACCCTTGCTGGTTTTCTAAACAATTATTCTTAAGAATACGATAGACTTACCTCCACGTGGTGCACCCTGGACAACGTACTTTCAAATGGCAGGCGTTATGATAGGTATCATGGGGTGTGCAATAGACTTACCTCCGTGGTGCACCCTGGGCAATGTATATTAGACTTACCTCCACGTGGTGCACCCTGGGCAACGTATGCTTATACGGCAAAAAAGTCTATTAACAGGCAGTTGACTTCAAACTACCATGACCCCACTGTATGCCATATTTGACTACTTCCACAATACTCGCCCCACCTTTTCACAACTTCGACTACTTCAACCGTACTCACCTCACCTTTTTTCAACCTTTGTGTCTGTCTCTTTTACATCTTTGAAATACTCTTTTGTTATGCCATATTTGACTACTTCCACAATACTCGCCCCACCTTTTCAACCTTTGTGTCTGTCTCTTTTACATCTTTGAAACACTCTTCTTCCCCCCCGTCTCGACTTTTTTCACTCTGATGTTCCTTCCCCTCTGTGGAGCCTGAAGTCAACTAAAGGGTTAACGATAACTATCAAAACGCCTGCTATTTGATATAAATAAATAAATAGATTGACTGTGTGCCTTTGCAATCTTCGCTTATGCCATCTAGAGAGGAGTTGACAGGCGCAAGAAGAACAAGAACGAACAGACCTAGGAATCAACGTGCCCACTTACCGCATTCTTCCCCTGATGTCAATAGTTGTTGAAAGCGAACTGATTTGCAAAAAGTTTAATAAAGAGAATAAAATTGTCCAGCAACTGGCAAAGTGGTTTCCACAACAGTTGTGGTTCAACCGATGGTGCTGGGAAATGCATGTTAAGAAAAAAAAGAATAGAAAGAGAGAGAAATATTGGCCTTTTCAACAAAGAAAAAGCAAGCTCAGATTGTATCCTTACAACGATTCTCAAATGGTCCCAAATTTAATCGAATAGGCTCAAAAGTAATAAACGTAATGAATAATGATATAAGTTTGCAAATTAGCAAAGACCTTGCTAATTCCAGTTGAACTATAAAAAACGAAAAAAAACTTCATTTAACGTGTGATTTTCCGCATAAAATAGCCTTAACATATAATTTCAGCACAATTTACGATTTTATAGGAATTCATAAGCATAGCAAAAAAGGATAAAAAATACTTTTGCTGTAAGTATAACTACCCAGGGAGAAAATGGAGAGGTTGTCGCCTATTAGCAGTAATTAATTTCACTGAAAAAGAGAATTCGTTGCTGTGCATCAAACAAATTAGCAGATAATTAACCGAACTAATTAAAAAAAATACTCCGCTCCATGGTGATATTGCAGCTTTCGTAGTTATGCTGCCGTATTCCACCTCAGAGGCCAATGTGCTGGAACGAAACTGATAGGCATTTTTACATCAACCAATGCAATCGCGCGGCCTTGAATTATCACAGGGATGGAAATAATTACAAAGGAAATTATGTGTGAATGAAGAAGGAAGCTCGTCTGCTTTTCTGCACCCATAGGGTAGTGCACAGAAAGTCAATATCACCAAATAACCAACAATTCTAAATTGCCAATAAATCAAAAGCGAAGGGACACTTCTAAATTCCAGTCGG